TAATATATATATATATATATATATATATATATATATATATATATATATATATATATATTCTTTTAATTTTTTCAGGTGGAACTTATTTACGTGAGAATCTCTCACTCATACCTGACTATGAGTAATTTAACATTATAATTTATATACATGCACAAAAAAAAAAAAAATTGAACTCATATATATGACACTTAAGTTGCTCATATCATGCTATTCTTAGTGAGTTCCATTTCACATCTACCACAACTTTATTATCACAGTCTACATACACGAGATTTCTAGCACTGTAATATCATAAACAAGTTCTATCTCTTACTTGTGTACGATATGATTTGATCTTTGATAGTGGTATGAATTGTTACTTTAAATATGCTAAAGAATCTCTCTTTTCTCTAATGAAGTTTGATTATGACTTTGAAGACTTGACAACCCAAGGAATCTGATTATTTCCATTTTAGGCTTTCGAAATTGAGGCGCATAAGGGTAAAACTATTGTCTTATTTTTCTTTGTAATGGAGTAGAAAGAAGATGGCAATTACAGCCTGCTAATCAATAAAGAATTAGAGATGGTAGCAACTTGAGCATATGTTGTTTGTGTTGACTTCCATGGCAAACAGGATTTAAGTACATGGATCTGGATTTCCTTAATCTCAAATTTGACGATTTAAGCCAAGTTCAAACAACCAAAATTATCATAGAATCACTCTTGAAGATAACCCAAACAAAGCTCCCAAGCAACAATCCATCCAGATATTACACTTCTCCTCTTTCCTTCAACATGGACATGGTCAATCCCTCCGAGGTTCCACCAACCCAAATGGCAATGGCTTCACAAAATCACCAGCCTCACTTTGTGCTGATACCATTGATGTCCCCAGGCCACCTTATACCCATGGTAGACATGGCCAAATTGCTGGCACAGCATGGCTTGATAGTCACCATAGTCACCACCCCCCTTAACACCATCCGATTCAAAACCACCGTCGATCGTGCCATTGAATCGGGCTGTCAGATCAGACTTCTGGACCTTAAACTCCCAGTGGTCGAGACCGGCTTGCCGGAGGGATGTGAAAACATGGACTCACTCCCATCACGAAAATTGATCAAGAACTTCTTTGTTGCTTCAAGTATGTTACAGCAACCATTTGAACGAGTGTTTGATGAGTTACAACCCCGTCCGAGTTGCATAATTTCCGGCAAGAATCTACCATGGACTGTTGAGACTGCTCGGAAGTTTCACATTCCAAGGCTGTTTTTTGATGGGATGAGCTGCTTTGCTTTTGTTTGTACAAACAATCTGGAAATGTCTAAAATTCATGAGGGTGGCTCCAACTTTGATCCCTTTGTAGTACCTGGCTTGCCTCATCAAATTGAGTTGACAAAAAGGCAGCTACCGGAATCCTTGAATCCCGGCTCGCCGGACTTGACGGACGTCCGGAACAAACTGACAGCAGCTGATTCCGTAGCAGATGGGATTATCGTCAATACATTTGAGGAGTTGGAATCAGAATATGTCAGAGAATATAGAATTGCCAAAGGAGTCAAGGTCTGGTGTGTTGGCCCTGTTTCAGCCTGCAATAAGTTGAACTTAGACCAGGCTGAAAGAGGCAATAAGGCCTCCGTGGATGAAAACCAATGCCTGAATTGGCTCGACGCTCGGGAGCCAAACTCTGTAATATATGCCTGTCTTGGAAGTATTTCTGGCCTCACAGCTTCACAACTTAGAGAGCTCGGATTAGGCTTGGAAGCATCAAACCAGTCTTTCATGTGGGTAATAAGAGGGGGAGAGAAATCACAGGAGTTGGAGAAATGGATTATGGAGGAGAGATTTGAAGAGAGGACAAGAGGGAGAGGCCTAGTGATCCGCGGTTGGGCACCTCAAGTACTCATCTTATCGCATCCATCAATTGGAGGGTTCTTAAGTCACTGCGGTTGGAATTCAGTGCTTGAAGGTGTTTGTGCCGGGGTGGCAATGATAACCTGTCCCCTGTTTGCTGAGCAGTTTATTAATGAAAAGTTGGTGGTGGAAGTATTGGGCATTGGTGTGAGTGTGGGGGTTGAGGCTGCTGTCACCTGGGGAATGGAAGAGAGTTTCGGATTGGTGATGAAAAGAGACGATGTGAAGAAGGCAATAGAAAGGGTAATGGATAAAGGAGAGGAAGGAAAGAAGAGAAGAGAAAAGGCAAGACAGGTTGGAAAGATGGCAAGACAGGCTATAGATGAAGGGGGGTCTTCTTACCTTAACATGAAAACATTAATCCAAGACATCATGCAGCAAACTAATACTTGACAGACATTTATAATTCACTTTCTCACTTTCTGTTTTTATTCATATGATTATGAAGAATGTTTTAACCAAACTCTGAATGAGAATTTGAATTCTAAGTTCTGTTGCATGTTTTTTGTACCTGCTGCCTTCTAACCGGGACTCTTTGATTATCTTTTTCTTTTCTCTGTTGCTAACCAAGATTTGAACTTAATCAAACTCATCATAGGGAGAGTAATAGAAGGTACAATTTTTCAAGTTAATATGGGATTGTAACTTCTGGGATTAATTTTAAGGAGAAAAGGCAACTCTGACCATCAATTTCTAAGTTGAAAACATGATCAAACCATGAAAAAACAAAATTGCATTACCCTAATATTGCAGGGTTGAGTGCAGAATCTTGCAGCTTCACTTTGTCCTTGATAAGATTCTAGAAGATGCCGATTTTGAGTGAAGGGAGAGAGAACATCACCCACAAAATAGTAATGATTATAGGCCACATAAAATCCATGGATAAACTTCTACTTGCTTCTGTAGGATGTAATACCAGCTAGTCTGGAACTGCAAGCCCATTCACTAAGGAAAATTGGCTTACTAAGGTCACCCCACAAATCGGTTTCTCCAGTAACTCTCTGTACTCCCTGATTTCCATGGATTCTCAAAGCCAACAACTTCACTTTGTGGTGTTTCCTTTTATGGCTCAAGGGCACATGATTCCAATGGTAGACATTGCCAGATTGTTGGCACATCGCAACATTCTTGTCACCATAATCACAACACCCTTGAATGCCGATCGTTTCACAGCTAGCATCTCTCGTGCAATAGAAGCTAGACTCCAAATTCGAGTAATCCAAGTTCAATTTCCTTGTGTAGCAGCGGGGTTACAAGAAGGCTGCGAGAATGTTGACATGCTCCCTTCAATTGATGTTGCCGATAAATTTTTTGCCGCCACTGCCATGCTACAAGAACCTGTGAAAAAATTGTTTAAAGAGTTGAAACCCCCACCAAGCTGCTTAATTTCTGATATGTGTTTTCCATGGACAACAAAGATGGCTCGGGAGTTTCATATCCCAAGGATAGTTTTCCATGGATTTTGTTGTTTTTCTCTCTTATGCCTACGCATCTTGCACAACTCCAGGTTTCTTGATGATAACACCTCTGAGTCGGATCGATTAGTGGTGCCTGGACTGCCTGACCGAATTGAACTCACTAGAGAAAATCTTTCGCACATTGCCACCACAAACTCCTCTATGTTGACAGACCTTCGCAATAAAATGAGAGAGGCTGAAGATGCAGCATATGGGGTGGTGGTTAATACTTTCGAGGAGTTGGAGCCTCAATATGTTAACGCATATGCTAAGGCCAAAGGTGCAAAAGTATGGTGCGTTGGTCCTGTTTCTCTATGCAACAAAAATGATATGGATAAGGCAGAAAGAGGTAACAAGGCTTCAATTGATGAAAACCATTGCTTGAAATGGCTTGATTCGCAAGAGCTAGGGTCTGTAGTCTATGTTTGTCTAGGAAGCATTACCCGCCTAGCGACTTCCCAGATGATTGAGCTTGGGTTGGGTCTAGAGGCATCAAGCCGACCTTTCATATGGGTTATAAGAAGCAAATCAGATGATTTTGAGAAATGGATTGCAGAAGAAAGATTTGAGGAAAGGATCAAGGGGAGAGGCCTTTTGATCCATGGATGGGCACCACAGGTACTAATATTGTTCCACCCCGCAGTGGGGGGATTTATGACACACTGTGGGTGGAACTCGACACTAGAGGGTGTGGCTGCTGGTGTGCCAATGATAACATGGCCAATGTTTGCAGAACAGTTCATTAATGAGAAGCTAATTGACCAAGTATTGAGGACTGGAGTGAGGGTTGGTGTAGAGATTCAAACTAATATTGGTGAGGAAGAAAAGGTTGGTGTGTTGGTTAAGAAGGACGATGTTACAATGTCTGTGTATAGGCTCATGGACGAAGGAGAGGAAGCAGAAGAGAGAATAAAAAGAGCTAAAGAGCTAGGGAAAATGGCAAAGATGGCATTAGAAGAAGGGGGCTCTTCTCACCTCAACATGACACGACTCATCCAAGATATCATGGAGCAAACAAACTAGGGGCAATCCACCAAAGAGCATGGTATAGAATGAAGTTCTTTTAGATGAGTAGAATGAACATGTTGATATTGTGTATTCACCAAACACTTTTGCGATCCACACAGCACACTGTTTAATTTTTCATTTCTAGTGCTTTCGGTCATTAAAAAGTAGTTGAATATGGTAGCACGTCTCCATTAAAAGGCTTTGAAGTGGCCCACATACCACATTAGTTTTTATGATAATATTATATTTATAAATTATATAGACAATTTTGAGTTAAATTTTGGTAATTGAGATTATGTCAATCTATCCATTATAAGATTGTGGTTATCAGGTTAGCTGTGGTTGTCAAATTAGTTTCAGACTCTTTGATGAAATGAACCTGATAAAGTCAATCTATGTAAGTGATAAGGATTGAAGTCCCTGACTTGCCTATAAATAAAGACCTGTGAATGTCATCAGATATATAATTTATTGTGAACGAATGCCAAGTTGGCAACTCTTTTCTCTCATCTCTATAAAGTATCAATAAGAGTGTTTAGTTTTTTTTTTTGCGAGTGCTCGATCAACAAGACTTGTGATTCAAAATTTAAGGTTAAAAGGCTTGAACGACATGACGGAAGGTGAGTATCCTATTTTGCTGCGATATGTGATTCTCCCATTTAGGTCTAACCTTTGGTATTAGAGCAAATCTTTCTACTGTGTCATTTAGCCTAAAGACATGTGATATAGATCGTATTAGGGATGAGAAGGGAAGAAGAAAGTGATGAGAAAAGAAGAAGAATGAGATGAGAATAGAGAGAATTTTAGAAAGAAGATTAAATATCAATAATCAATAATCAAAGTCTACCAAAACAAATATCATATCCCCTATATATATATATAGGGAGAACACAAATCCTAAAAGAAGTCTAAAAGAAATAAATAGTCATAATGACAACTGAACCCTTAAAAGTTAAAAGAAATTACTTAAAAGATAAATATTAGAAGTATCTAAATAACTATCATAATTAATCTATAATATCTATCCAATTCTTACACGATCCCCATCATTTTTTTTTCGGTTGAAAAAAACTCTCCTCCGGAGAGTTTTCAAAGTAGAAGTACCCTAAGAGAGCAGGATGAAGATGACATAATGCCTCTTATAAAATGAAAGAATCATCAACTTCTTTCCATTGACCAGGATAAAAGCAAGAATCTCCATCTGTATGAACACCTGCGAATAAAATAAGAGGCTCTGGAGTACCTCGAATAAGTAGCATGTCCTCCAAATAAAAATCTGGACTAATACTAACATTCAATGGAAAATTAAGCAAATAAGCATTAGATCCAAACTCAAGAATAACAAAACAATTCCCATTAGATTTGTACAACAGACATTCAATGAGACAAGACATCAATGACAAAGCAGTAACTATAACACCCTGGTGCTGAAAATAAGAAAGTACATGCTCAATTGAACACTTGACAGTAGGCAAATAATCAAAGTTAACACTCTCAAGTGGGGCATAATCCAGAACAATGTCAACAATCTCAGATTGAGAAGAATTTGTAACAAAGTTATGATGACTTGGACAAGTAGACATAGAATAGTCACAATTAGATTCTGCAATAAATGACTCGATTGGCTTAATATCTTGCATAGGTGTAGATTCAACAGACTTTTCCATAATTTAAAAAATCAATAATGGTTCAAGAATTGACACAAACAAAGACTCACACACACTTTCTTTCGAAAATGGACTTTTGTGGGTGCAAAGGGCTGATATGATGAAACCAAATGAGGGAGTTGGAAGTCCATATGAGTAACATTTTTCTCTTTATCTGACACTAAAATATCTAAATCGTGTGTCACATTTAGACTAGGAAAACATGCAGAAATAACATGGACATCATTTAAGTAATCATGATACTCATATGTGATGGAATTAAAATTAGAAGATGTCCTATCAGCAGGCTGTGATTGAGAACCCATCAAGGTATAATTGGATTTTTTATAAAATCTCTCAACCTTTAGAGCATATTGATAGACTACAACTAACATATTAAAGTTGTATTGCTTAACCTCCCTACTAATTTTTTGTCTCAACCCAAAAATAAACTGATCAATTGTCTAAGGTTCTTCAACAATGTCACACAAGTACATGAAATAATCAAATTGGGCAAAGTAATCAGAGACACTAGAAGAATGTTGTCTAAGATTGAGTCATTGGTCCTAAATTTGATCCATGTAGGAAGTAGGCAAATACTTCTCTTTCAATTTATATCTCATTTCAACCCAGGTGATAGGTGATTCTCCTAAGGGGTCTAGGCTTCTTTGGATTGTTTGTTAATACTTTTTGGCCGAACCCTCCAACATCAATTTAGCAAAACGAACGTAATGGGAATTCGACATGTCATGCCAATCAAAATATTCTTCTAAATTAGCTAACCAATCCAAGAATTGATTGAGATCTAAAGTGCCACTAAATATAGAAGGATCTTTGACTAATTTGGTCATATGAGTTGACTCCATGTAAACATCCCTAGACTTCTTATGATGATGACTTCGACGAGAGACTCTTGAAACATGTGCATTAGAGAGACTCATGAGTGACTCTTGAGAGATGAGAATGATATAAGAACAAATTCAAGAATGCAATTCACAATTTCATGTTTAAATAGAAGAAAATATGTTTTGGATCCTTTGTAAATTCTATAATTTTTCAATGAATAAAAATATTAATATCAAATTCTATAGGAGTATGCATACCATAATCAAGAGAAAATTCTAAATTTTTTTTGGGATGATTCTGTAATTTTTTGGATCTGTTGGTAATGTTTCTGCAATTCTAGAACTTTTGGGGGAAAAATTCTGTAATTTCTGCAACTTCTGGGGTAATGTTTCTGTAATTCTGAAACTTCTGGGAGAAGATTGTGTAAATTTTGAAATTTCTGGTGGTGATTTTATAACTTTTGAAATTTTTTGGGGTGTTTCTATAATTTTTAAAACAGCTGGAATGTTTTTGCAATTTTCTGAATATTCAGGGATGAGAACAGTGCACGAACAGCAATTTGGCTCACAAATTTTTTTTTTTTTTTTTTTTTTTTTTTTATTTGTATGAATCGAAGTTGAACTTTGATACCAAATTGATGTAGATCGTATTAGAGAAGAATTAGAGATGAGAAAGGAAGAAGAAAGAGATGAGAAAAGAAGAAGAATGAGATGAGAATAGAGAGATTTTTAGAAAGAAGATTCAATATCAATAATCAATAATCAAAATCTATCAAAACAAATATCATATCCCCTATATATATAGGGAGAACACAAATCTTAAAAGATGTCTAAAAAAATATATATAGTCATAATGACAATTAAACCCTTAAAAGTTAAAAGAAATTACTTAAAAGATAAATATTAAAATTATTTAAATAACTATCATAATTAATCTATAATATTTATCTAATTTCTACACAATCTTCATCAAGATGAGTTTTTTTATTTACTCTTCTGATGAAAAATTGTGTATCTATATTAAATGACAAAAAAAGTGTATCTTAAGCATGTTAACTTATGTACTTTTGTCTTGCATGAACAGTAAGTTTGATCCTTAGTACGTTGGCAATATTTCAATGGATCAAGGAACCAAATTAAATATAGGAGACGAGACTTGTGTTTTGATTTTTTGGAACATGCAAAAAAAGAAAAAAAGAAAAAAAGAAAAAAAAGAAAGAGGATGTTTAACACGGTGGGCAATAACCGATGGATAGTAACCATTGAATCTTAGTTACTACTTTAATAAATTGTTTGGTTTTTCTATCGTTATTTTTGGGATCAATTTTACTATTATTTCGGTGATTCGATTACATTAAAACTTTATGTTTCTGGATCAGACTTGAAAAATTTTTTGTCTATGTTTTGACCCTCAAAGTACTAGAGATCTTAAGTTCTGCATTTACAATAGGTAAAGGGACCCATTATATTTATGAATAAAATCAATTCATGTTTGATTGAAACACTTATATGCATGCAAATTTTATTCAGATTTAGTCTAATTTTTGAGCAATAATGATTCATGTGCATAGCCTAATTTTGTTTTATCTGATTTAATTTTCAGATCATGAAAATAATTTATTTTATAATGTTGGGTAGTTTTAATGTGACTTTTAAGGCTCAAATGGTTGAATTTAGTCATGAAGATTTTCCAGTAACATTTGTATGCTATTAGGAACTATGCAAACACTACTTGCATGTGCTATACAATGAATGTTATTTGAGTTATTTGTTTGTCTTTAAAGCTATTTGCATTGAATTGCTTCTGACATATATACTTTTTTTAAAATAATATTAACCTGCCTTTAGATGAGGTCTACATGGTATGTGCATGCTAAATTTGACAGTAGTATATTTAAGAAATAATTTGACATAAATTTAAAGATTTGTTTATGTCATGAATTATTTCAAATAAAGATATCATATTGACTTATGAGTAGCCATACCATCTTAAGTCATGTTGATTAGTGACTAATACATTTTGATCACATAAAGATAAAAAAAAAATTGTTTGGCATCTTCATATTGCAATTAAGTTTTTATGAGTAATTGCTTGTCCCTAGGGAAGTAATTATTTTGTAATACTTATTTAGAATAAAATAGTGAATTGGGTACTACGAGAATTGGATGTCATATGCCCACAAGTATGAGTTCTTTTCTTCTTAGTATTCTAAAATTTTCTAGCCTTATTATAAAAGTAATAGCAAATTTAATGCATGTTGCGAGCTCTGTCCATAGGAAGGTTTAAATATTGCTATTGAATTTGACATTGGTTTATTCAAAATTATAGTTAATGTTTGGTAGCAATAATATATGTGTTTCTTGGTTATGAAGTTGTTTCTACTTATAATGATTTGTCTCGTATTCCTTTCCTATTTGGTGATAATGTTTTCCGACTGTAAAGACAAAGTCCTCTTAACATTAGGGTTCGTGGACATTGACTTGGCGCTTCGTGTGGACGAACCAGCCGTCCCCACGGAATCAAGCATGCCAAGTGAGAGAGCTTTGTATGATCGATGGGAGTGATCAAATTGCTTGAGTCTAATGTTCATCAAGTCCCACATCAGCATAAGCATTCGGGGGTTAATTCCTTAGTGTGATAAGGTAAAGGACTTCATGAAGGTTATTGAGGAATAGTTTGCAAGTTTTGATAAAGCACTCGCCAGCACCCTAATGAAGAAACTTTTGGGAATGAAACACAAAAACTCTAAAGGTGTGCGTAAACATATCATGGGTATGAGGG